GATAATATTACTCGTTGAGAAAAAGGGAATACTGTTCTCATTAAAAAGTATGAAACAAGTTGTAGGTTTGCTAATATTTGTTGTTTTAGTCCTCTGAAAATTGATTAGCCTCTTTCCGCCTCGAACTAGTAATTTTAATTGTTTTTGAACTACTTACCTTTTTTACAGCTCCGTCATGTTATGAGTAACAACTCGTTGCACTTTACACCTTTTAATGAAAAAGAGTTTCAGCAGGATATACACAATACAATCTATCGTTGTAGTGCTATAAACAATGTTGGAACTATTATATCAAAGGATATTACGGTTAAAGCTGGTAAGTAAATAATTGTAATAAAGAAATCGCGATGCAAAACCCAGCTCTAGTACTATTACTTATTAATTAGAAATAAATTTAAATGCATCAGGCTTGAGCCCTAACCAACTATCAATAAGTGAGTGCTGCTGACACTCATAGTTTTAAGTACAGGCTATTTTAGTCTAAAAATATACTTATCACTTGAAAGATTAGTATATACCAAAAGGTTGCTGTGCGGGGTTCAAAGATAACTCTACCGCTTTGATAGCAAACGCGGCCTCTGCGTAGGCCATAGATTTATACAAATATTGCCTATATAAACCGAACGCAAGAAAGAATAAAATCAATTTCATACAAAAACTCAACCCTGTAAGTGTCCTTATTTTGGAGCCTTACATTTTGGTCCATCGAGGCACCCTGCAGTAATCCCCACCAGTGGTAAGAGACCAGGAGTAAGACCAGCACCTTAGAGTAAAAAATTATAGTTTTGTTGAGGTTGCAAAATAATTGACTCTCATTTTCCCCCACAAGTCGTAAGAAACGGAATATAAATAAAAGCAAAAGGATAAAAAAGAAATGTTTTATAAATAAAAAAAAAAAAAAATTAAAAAATTTTGTGAACGAGAAATTGGCATTATTAATAAAAATTGAAATTGCCACGGCATCTGTATTTGGGCGTTTTCGAGGCCCTAGGAGAAACATCGAAAGTGCACAAAGCTAAAATAAGTGACATTAGTGGATATTATAGTATATGTGAAAAGTATTATATAAAATTTCTAATTCATCAATACCTCAATAAAAATCAGTGACATCAGTTAATTCTATATACGATCTAATTCATAAAAAAAAAATCAGTGTCTTCAGTGATTTTTATATAAATAGTCGAAAATCTCAAAAAATCATTTGCGAGCGGCACCATCGGCACTCGATAAAAAAAAGCAACCATCATCAGTAACAACAATCAGTAGCGGCGGCAACAACAACAACAGCAACAATCTTCAGCGGCAACAACAATCAGCAGCGGCGACAACAACAACAACAGCAGCTACAGCATCAACAACAGCAAGGCCAGATAAGTCAATTTTATGTTGTTTATAATAATATTATAATACTAAAATAAGACTAAACTTAAGAATGACCTCTTTGTTAAAAAAAGGTAGATAAACTTGTTGTCCGCTCAAATAATTGCTCTTATAAAGAGGCAAGTAGAAATCACTACTGCCAGTAGGGAGTTGCAAGAACTCTCATGCTTGTCATTCGAGTTAATGAAAAAGTTTGATACACTTAAAGACGAGTGTATCATAAATCACCAAGCCCTTTTAAAAATTGGAGTAGTCGATCATGACTACTTTAAAAATAACCATTATAAAGAGATGATGCTGTGCTTTGAGAAAATTAAAGCACGCATCAACCAAACCTTAAAGTCCGCTAAACAGTCCGATAGCCAAAGTACGCAGGAAAGGGCAACGCTAGATGAAAGCAAGCTAGATAGGGCAATTAATCAACTAGAAACTTATCTTAAAGAGACTTTTGACGATATGAGGGAAAATAGAATTACAACCTTCTAAGTAAGAATAGAAAAAATTAAATTTTATTGGGACAGGATAAATAAGCTTATTATTATTATTATTATTATTATTATTAGGGGGGAAAAGGTTACCTCGACCCAACTGGATCTATTGTACCCCCCAATCTGAGCTTAGAGCTCACCCATCAACCCGGCTCCTTCGATAAGGTTAAGGAGCTTTTTCGGGTCGATGCTTCCAGAGGTCCCAAGCGTAAGGAACCTGGACCCGAGGGTTCTGCTCCTCAGGCTACTTAGTGCTGGGCAATCTGATATTATGTGTAGGGACGTTTCATCCTCGCTATCACAGAATCTGCATGTTTTCCTGTTTGTAATCCCTATATTAAATAGGTGTCTCCTCAGTTTGCAGTGTCCGGTTAGTAAGCCGGTAACTATCCTAAGTGATCTCTTCCCTAGTAGTATAAGTTTCTTAAACCTCTTCATGTCATAATTGACGATGAGGGTTTTGGCTTGTCTTTGGCCTGTGGTGTCTACCCAGCAGGCTTACCTCATATGTACCTCTTCCGTTCTTAGGTTATCTTTGACTGTGTGTCTGCATATGCCACAGTAAGGCTCGGGTCCTATAAGGGGTCGTTCCGCCCCTGTCGGCTAGTTCATTCCCGGATATGTCTTTGTGTCCTGGAATCCATCTTAATGACAGCCTGTTGTTGCTGCCCAGAAGGTTCAGCTTTGTTCTTACTTCTCGTACCAGCTTTGAGTTGATTCTATTGCTGCATAGTGCAGTAATTGCCGCTCGACTGTCCGAGAGGATCGCAATGTCCTTCTTTGTGTACCTACGCTTCATATTGAGCTCTGCACACCGCCCTATGGCGCAAACTTCAGCTTGGAATATCCTGGTGTATTGGCCTAACGATTCATGGTATTTGATTCGTGGTCCTACTACTCCAAGGCCAGTGCCTTGGTGTGTTAAAGACCCGTCCGTATACCATGCTATAGTGTGACTCGCCATGGAGTATACTTCCTTCATGGTGGTCCATTCTTTCTTGTTGCTCAGATGAGCAGAGAAATTCTTTTCAAAGATGAATTCTACTGTCATTTCGTCCCTGGGGTGTGAGCTCAGGGGAAGTTCGACTAGTAGTTTTGCTGCATCCCTAGAACTGAGGATGCGGTCACTGCCATTACCACAAGAAGTGATTCTTAGTAGGGTGGCCTTCCGCTGTAACTCTACTACGTAGTGTAGCGGAGTGAGTTCCATGCGAAATTCCAGTGCCGCAGTGGGGCAGGTTCTCATTGCTCCTGTCATACATATGCATGCCAGTCTTTGCAGCCTTTGAAGCTGTTTCTGTGCGGTAACGAGCCTAGCTCGTTTACCCCAGGCTACTGACCCATATGTGAGTATGGGCCTCACAATTATAAGGTATAACCATCTGATAATTTGGGGTCCCCCAAGATTTCCCTGCAATTTTCCGACAGGTGAAGAGAGCCCTGAGGCACTTATCCACTGTCTTTTGCATATGGGTTGCAAACGTTAGCCTTCTGTCGAAGGTAACTCCGAGGTACTTGACTTCCCGGCTTATTGCTACGGGAGTACCTAGTAGTATGATTTGTCTCATCTTCTTTAGTTTGTACTTCTTTGTAAAAGGAACAATGACTGTTTTTGCGGGGTTGAGGTTAAGCCCAACTTCCCTGCACCAGTCGAGCGTTATCTTGAGTCCGAGTTGGACAATATCGCAGAGCGTTTCTTCAAATTTCCCTTTGGCTACTATTACTATGTCATCGGCATAGCCTTGACATTGTATTCCTCTGTCGGCGAGTTTCTTTAGTAGTTCATCTACTAGTAGGCTCCACAGTAAAGGAGACAAGACTCCACCCTGCGGACATCCTCTGCTTGTGGCAACGGTCATTGTGCTGTTGCCAATGGTCGCCATTGCCTGCCTGGAGCTTAACAAGGCTCCATTCCACCTTCTTGTTGTCGCGTCTATATTCCTTCTGGCGAGGGCCGCTACGACAGCATCATGCGACGCATTGTCAAAGGCTCCCTCTATATCCAGAAAGGCGCAGATTGCAGCTTCTTTGTTGTCCACTATGTAGCGGCGACTGAAGCAACAAACATTTTCTTTAATTCGGCCAAGAAAATAATAATCAATCAAAACAATAATAATCAACAGCTGTTAGTAAGCCCGGCCTACTTAGTATTTTTTTTTTTTTTTTTTTTTGAGACGGTAACTGACCGTGACGATAGTAATCAGCTGTACTAGGGTAGTTACAGATGTTGGTAAACCCAGCTTAGTTAGTATTTTTTTTTTTTTTTGGAAATGTCAACTGACCAGGGATAATCTAGACAGCTGTACCAGGGTAGATCTGGAAAGCTTAATTGCCATCTTGGCATGATTGACAGCTGCGGTGCATTTCCGTTGGCACCCTAGGCCAGATTTTCCTGGTTAAGTTCCGGCACAAAGTTTAAAGTCTCCGATCAGTGAATTGAGGTTAGTCTAACCTCATCTGCGTTTTAGGCAAACAAGGGAAAGAAAACCGAGTCGGGCGGCTCCCATCGAGCACCGGCAAACAGCGAAATTTAGCTGCAGTTGGAGGAGGAAGCCCTGGGAAAATTTATTCTGAACCTCAAAAGGGTTTTAGGGCCGATCGAAAGGTAATATATATTTATTGGAATAGAGCTTTTGGTGAGGAGTTTTATGTGTCCGTTCCCATTTGCCAGGTTGTGCCCAGTAGCGGGTGATATAAAGTTGATGTCCCCGGGAGCACCCCAGATGTGCAAATTAAATAACCTGAAGCAGGAGACACCCACATGCGGAAACCACAAGTGACTATACCAGCAGGAGAACGCGCTCCACCCACACATGCGCAAGTAATTTAGTGGCAGCCAATACGCCCTGCTGCCCGCAGCGTAACCTCTCCTTCTGTGCATAACCTCATACGCATGCGCGCGTGATCTTTTGGGCCGTCTATACACACACGCACACATGCACGCGCGGTCTTTGCATATGCAGACATAACCTCAGCGGTCCACACACCTTCGTGCTTAGCCTCAAATTTGATTTGATTTAATTATCTGCAAACGACCCCAATCACTTTGCAACTTATTTGCAAGCAACGTTACACAACAACAGCAATCAACATGGATTAATTATGGAGCAGTATATCAACTAAATTTTTTTTTTATTCTACCTAAAATATAAAAAATATTTATCGGGATTTATACTGGCTTAAAGTTTACTTTTAATCGTTTTCAAAATATCTAGTGAAGTTGAGTATTTTTTGTAATTATATGGTGTAATACGCCATAGACCTTTTCCAGCACGCCTGCGTCGAGAGATCGATCTTTCGTCGATGGATAAGTTGCCGTGAGTTTTTTTATTATATTTTTTTATTCTCTTTACCCATCTTTATTTTTGAAAACGAAACTTAAACTAATCTCGAATGGCTACTTTGATCATTTTTATAATCTCATTTGATAATACGAGAAGCCAGAATTCAAGGAATCCCTATTAATGAAGTTAACTATTGGAATTTATTAATTTAATTATCCTATCTTGGAATTAAATCGATTTAAATATTAAATTTAATAATTAAACTATGAATGTTAAGTACTAAGAACATGAATAGAATTTATTTGAACTTAATCTTGAATTTATTAATAATAAATGCTTTAAATTAATAAATTTATGACTTAGGAAATATAGTCATAAATTTATTTGAAGAAACAAAAACCCAAATACCACTATACACTGAAACAAATTGAAATCCTAAAAGTTGAAAAGTTAAAAACCATACATATTTTCACTCTTTTTATTATATACCCATGCTATTATTCAAATATTATTACTATTGCATGCCCATTACTCTTTTATGAAATTATATACACTAGTTCTTAATTATATTAATTATGTCTTATTTTTCTGAATTCAACAATTAAAAATTGAAGCTTAAAACCTTAAATTACTGAACTTTGCTGATGTTTTCACGGTCGTAGGATACAAAAGGGGTCACCGGAGCCATGCTCTTGCGGCAGGTGATCTTAGGTAGGGTGGGCAACATGCGAGCACTATAACATCCGTGTTTCGCTGAGTTAAATTTCTCTCTTACTTTTCTTTCTTTTCTTTTCTTTCAAAAATTTCTATTTTTCGAATTTGTTTATATTTCTTCCGGTTTAGTTAACTAACTAATAGTTTTGTCGCAAGCACGCTCAATTCTTAGTCTTTCAATAATAATGTGTAGACGGTGTCAGGGTCTGTATAAAGCAAGAACAACACCCCCAAAGCCGACGAGTTAGTGCCGGACCCTATAGCGTGCCCCGCAAGTACAGATCCCTCGATGCATAAAACTTCAGTCGAACGTTACACGCTACAACTACCCCTTCAAGAGTGTGACAAAGTTGGTACAGTGCAGTGTCAGTTGAACGACCTGCCCTGTATGCGTGCTGCGTGGGTTGCAGCGGACAGTCCTTAAGAACTGTGCTCCTAATATGGTAGTCTACCAGCTTTTCCAACGTTTTAAGGCAAAACGAGGTTAAGCTGATAGGTCTGAAGGACTTTGGGTTGGTGATGTCTTTCTTCCCTGCTTTGGGGATGAAGACCACCCTAGCTCTACGCCACGCATTTGGGATGTGTCCAATTGCTAGGCTGCTTAGCATCAGTCTCCTTAAGCGGGTTAGGAGTAAATCCAGTCCCTGCTGCAGGAATGATGGAGAGATACCATCCAGACCAGGTGACTTAAATGGCTGGAAGGTCCCAATTGCCCATTTAAGTCTCTCCGGAGAGACTAGAGACTTGGCAATTGCCCAGTCCTCAGCGCTTGGTCTGAAGTGTCTTGGAGTGGACGATGCCTCCATTTGGTTGAACGTATCTTCCGCCAGGGGTGAGCTCCCGGGGAAGTGTGTTTTAAAGAGTAAAGCTAGTTTATCCCTGTCGTCGGAAGTGTAAGCGTTGTCACATTTCCTCAGGGCTAGGTTACTTTCTGGTGCAACTTTGGCCATAGCCTTGTGCAATCTTGCCCCTTCATGGGCTGTGCTGATTGCCTCACAGAAGTCTCTGTAGTTCTTCCGTTTGGCCTTCCTGATCTCTTTGTTGTAGAGCGTCAGGCTTTGTTTGTATTGTCTCCAGTTATCCTCGCTCGTTTTTGCTCTGTTGAAGAGCCGGCGGGTGGAGATTCGGAGCCGTTCCAGGTTGTCATTCTACCATGGGGCGTCTCTATCTGCTTTCCGTCTGCCAAGAGGGCAACTGTCCTCAAAAGCATTGGTTATCTTCTTGCAAAGGTTATCCACTGCCTGATCCAATTCTAAAGAATGTCTGGGTATACCTGACGGTTCGTTAGAGAGATTGAGTTCAAGAGAAGACTTGAACCAATCCCAGTTTGTATTCTTGGGATTCTTTTTGGGGGCGTCCCTAGCGGTGTTGAAGTCGACTTCAAATCTAATGATTCGGTGATCCGACATTGATTCCTCTGGCGACACATGCCAGTTCTTGATAAGTGGTCCTAGAGACCTGCTCCTCAGAGTTATGTTTAGGACCTCCTCTCTTACTCTAGTAATGAATGTCGGTGTGGACCCGACATTACCGATTTCTAGGTTACTATTTACAATAAACTCTATTAGCTGCTTACCTCTGTTGTTGACGTCGGTGCTTCCCCATAGATTAGGGGTAACTTCTTCCTCCTGCAGCATTCCACGAGTCCGATGATTTCCGGTGGTGGGCATGCTGCATCCCCAGCAAAGTACGCCGGCTCTATGGCGATCGCTGGTAACTTTCCTGTGCCGCTCACCATTACCGCGACACAGTCACTGATTAGAAACTCTGAAAAGATATTATAATTTATATCTTTCCTTATTAATATGCATGCTCTTAAGTGTGCACCCCGTTGGTCGCATATTACCTTTGATTCCTTGGTGTACAGGCCTTTAATGCCCTGATTGCACCAAGGCTCCTGAATGAGAGCTAGCCCGAGATGTTGGGAGGTGAACAACCTGGCCAGGACGGCGGATGCCGCCTTGGCCCGGTGTAAGTTCACCTGGGCTAGCTGCGTGCTGCGGTGTGCAGCCATTACTGGAGCGGGTGCTCCATGTTTTGTGAAGGGGGGCGGGAATTCCCCTTCACTGCCTTCCGTCAGGGTGACGTCGGCCTCCTTCTCGTCGATATCTTGTAGGAGGGGCTCTTGTGCCACCTCCTAGGAGGGCGAGGGATGTTCATCCTCACTCTCCACGTCCATATCGGCGATAGCATCCTCCTTTGCACCCAATGGCTCTTGTGGCCGGGGGTGCTGCTTCTGTTGCCGCCATCTTCGCCGCCTTCCTGAGACCACTCACCGAGACGGTCCCGAATCTAAAGTTCAGCTGGTGCCCTTTAGAGACGATCTCATCTCGGGTGAGTTGGTCTATCCCTATAACGAGGAGTGCCCCGCCTCTGTCGTTCCTTCGGGAGATCACCTTCCAGGAATCGACCTCCATTCTGTTCTGGCGTCCCAGCATCATCAGAAGCTCCTCATTGCTTCTTTCTGCACTTCTAGGGCAGAAGACTGTGACATTGTATGCCGCAGGAATGTCTTCTCCTACCCTAGTGTCAAGGGGCACGCCCTTCCAAGTCCTTAGCTGAGGCGTTACAGCCCTTAGCCAGTCCGCCGAGTCCTGGTCCAAGCAGTCTATCAGGAGGTATCCGACCCTAAAGTGGATACCTCTGAAGGCGACTGCTGAGTCCCATTCAGACGTGACTACGTCGTCCATTATGGCCTCCTCCAGCTCGGCAAGCTCTTCGTTGCTCAGGTACACCTGCGGGTAGTCCTCAGGTAGTACCGCAACTCTGACTCTCTTGGCGGCCTCCGCGTAGGAGGTGTGTGTGCCAGTGAGAGGAGCCGCACAAGTGGAGGGTGGCTGCTTCTCACCCTTGTCACCCGCCTTCGGCACGCTGGGTGTGCCAGCAGATGCCTCAGGGGGGGGGTCTCCTCGTCGCCGCCGCCTTCGATGTGGTAGGCTCATCAGGCCTTGGGGGACGGGGGGGAGGTGCCGCTGCCTCTTTGATGCCCTCTGACTTGGACCTTTTCGGGGTGTCCATCGGAGGGGTGAGGGTACTATTTGCCCGCTTGCTGGCAGGGCAACGTTTTGTGCCACTGGTCGTGGCTCCTTCGCCTTCTTCAAAGCTTCATCAGGTGTCATGCCCTGCTGAAGATACCTGAGGTACCATTTGACCTTAGACCCCGACAGGCCTTTCCTGTTGGGGTCGCCAAGGCCTCCTGGTTGTCCTCTGGCTGGAAGGACATCTGCCTTATTGGCAGGCTTGGTCTTCTGTACAGCCGCGGGGGTGGGCAAGCCGGCCGGGATGGTCCTGCCGGTAGCCCACGTTCCCGAACTGGAACAGTCGATCGCTGTGGGGGTTGTCCCACATTCTGCGTCCGTGACGCACTCCTGATGGAAGCTGCGCTCCTGGGTGGGGCTGGTCCCACCTGGGGTCGCACTCCGTCAAGGAGTCTGTTTTCCAAGAGCCTTGCGGCACTTGATGCAGGGATATCCTGCGGCAATTTGGTGTTCGTATGTTTCTTCGTAATCGAATCCCACGAGTTGCGGAGAAAATATGGTCCACCCGGGCAGAGATCCGCCATACCCGGGTAAGGCGCAGTTAGGACAGGCAGTCGCCACTTCCCTGAACCCTCCGTGAGAGACTGGGCTATTTGTTAATCCGGGCCCCCAGCCAGGCTGACTATCGGCACGGGTCGGATGACACCTTAGTCCGGCCCGGAGTGAGATTGTGTGGGGAGGGGAGTTGATAGGTAGTTGTGAGGGAAGAGGAGTGTGTGAGGCTATACTTTTGAAGACGGCCAGACAAACGTCTCATCAGTACATCGACTCCGGTGTACCCGCTGTTTGTCCGGGGTTGCTTATTAGCTTGCGCCTATTCGCAACTAACCTTATAGAAGACCGTTCGCTATCCGCAACCTGCGACCCGCCTGGTGGCCCCAGCTAAGCATAAATAAGCTTAAAGCAAGTTGAAATGACTGATGTCACAGATAGGAGATATAATGAAATTCTAGATGAGCCAGAGTTTGATTCGTTCACGGTGTCCAACAATACGAAAAGGAAATTAATAGAAAGTGTGCCAACTAAGGTTGAGGTAACAAGTCAAAAAATTTACAATTTGCCAACTCTACCTAAAATTCAGGTGCCCACATTCTTTGGAAATTCCAAAGATTGGGACCTATTTCATGAGTTATTTAATGAACTCATTCATTTAGGGGAGGATCTAAGTCCTACCCAAAAATTCAATTATTTAAAAATTTTCCTTAAAGGAAAAGCTAGAAATGTAGTTTCTCAGCTGTTATTGGGGTCTGGAGATAATTACGAGGCCGCTTGGGAACTATTAACCAAGCGGTACGAAAATAAGCGGAAGGTATTCTCCGAACAATTAAATCGTCTTCTTGAGCTTAGAAATTTAAACATTGACTCAATGAAGCAATTACGAATGTTTATTGACACTATTAATGAGTCGATTCAAGCCTTAAATCCATCAGAAAGAATGGAAAAAGTTAAGAAAGCTTCTTTAAATGCCTTAAACACCCTTATTATAAAAATTGTCTTAGCGAAATTGCATGTTCGCTGTGTAAAAAGAATCACCATAGCATGCCTCATATGGGTTATAAAAAAAAAACCCAAAAACACATATATGAATAGCACGTCAGAACAGGCATTATTAGCTACTGCGAGTGTACAGATAAAATCCCCTAAAGAAGATTTTAAAACTTTAAGAGGTTTGATAGATAGTGGGTCACAAAACACGATAATTTCTGAGGAATCAGCGCAGACTCCGAAATTTTTTTTTTTTTTTTTTTTTTCCTTTATAACTCCTCCTGGGAGCATAGGGCCTCGACTAGTTTCCTCCATCTTACTCTATTTCGGGCTGTCTGTTTCGCTGTGTCCCATGTGATGTTGTATTGGGACAACTCTTGAAGGGCGGTTCGTCTCCATGTTGCTTTAGGTCTGCCTACACGCCTGCTTCCCTGTAAAAAGAATCACCATAGCATGCCTCATATGGGTTATAAAAAAAAAACCCAAAAACACATATATGAATAGCACGTCAGAACAGGCATTATTAGCTACTGCGAGTGTACAGATAGAATCCCCTAAAGAAGATTTTAAAACTTTGAGAGGTTTGATAGATAGTGGGTCACAAAACACGATAATTTCTGAGAAATCAGCGCAGACTCCGAATTTTTTTTTTTTTTTTTTTTTTTTTTTTCCTTTATAACTCCTCCTGGGAGCATAGGGCCTCGACTAGATTCCTCCATCTTACTCTATTTCGGGCTGTCTGTTTCGCTGTGTCCCATATGATGTTGTATTGGGACAACTCTTGAAGGGCGGTTCGTCTCCATGTTGCTTTAGGTCTGCCTACACGCCTGCTTCCCTGTGGGTTCCACTCTAGCGCCATTCTGACTATGCTATCCTGGTCCTTTCGCAGTGCGTGGCCTATCCATCTCCATTTTTTCTTCCTGATTTGGAGTCTTATTACTGTTTCACCCGTCATATTCCAGAGGTCTATGTTGGAGATTCTGTTTGGCCAGGAAATCCCGCATATTATTCTGAGACACTTGTTGGTGAAAGCCTGCAATTGTTGGATTATTGTCTTTGTTGTGAGCCACGTCTCGCTTCCGTATAGTAGGACGGATTTTATGCATGAGTTGAAGATCCGTATCTTTGTTTTTCTTCTTATTTGGCGGCGAGAAATGCGGTAGAGTCTCCCGAAGGCAGACCTGGCTTTGGCTAGCCTGCTCGTCACATCTTCTGTCACGCCACCGTTGCTGGAAATTACGGTGCCAAGGTATGGGAAACTCTCGACGTATTCGATTGGGTTTCCATCTATGATGATATTTCCTTGGCTGGCGTGATTGAGGCGCATCGCTTTTGTCTTCGCCGTGTTTATTTGTAGACCCACACTGCTGGCTAGGTTCACGAGGTCATCAACTTTGGATTGAGTATCGCTTAGTTTGTGAGAGATTAGGCAAATGTCGTCTGCGTAGTCCAAGTCTTCTAGGTGTCTGGTGAAGCTCCATTGTATTCCACGCTTGTGTTTGCACACTTCTCTCATGACCTCGTCCACCACAATGTTGAAGAGCAGTGGGGATAGTGGGCATCCTTGCTTGACCCCGGTGTTTGTTTGGAAAGGTGCACTTGTCTTCCCGTTGTGCAGTACCGCCAGGTTGGCGTCATCGTATAGCGCCTTTATTAGGGCGATGACTTTGTGCGGTACTCCTTTCCTAGCAAGCGCTCCCCATATTGCTGCTCTATTTATTGAATCGAACGCCTTCTTGAAATCGATGAACAGGAGGTACAGTGGTGCTCTCCATTCCACAGCTTGTTCGGTTATGATGCGTAGGGTGTTGGCTTGGTCTACGCAGCTCCTGTGTGGTCTGAAGCCTGCCTGTTCATCTCTTAGTGTGGGCTCGAATTTTTCCGTCAGGCGTTCATTCAGACTTGTGGCTAGGACTTTGTAACTGGTGTTCAGTAATGTGATCCCTCTCCAGTTGTTGCAATCACTAAGGTCTCCTTTCTTGGGTATTTTCACTATGACTCCGCATTTCCAGGAGTCGGGAATGTGTTCGCTCTCCCATGCACTCGAGAAGTGCGGATGCAATGTTTCTGCCATCAGTTGAGTGTCAACTTGGAGGATTTCGGCTGAAATGCCATCCATCCCGGCAGCTTTGTTGTTCTTGAGCTTCTTTATTGCATTTCCGATTTCTCTCACGGTGGGTGGGGCGGATGATATTCTCCGGTTCCCATTTGCTGGCACAACGCTTCTGTAGTCATCGCTCCTGCTAGGCATGTCGGAGTTGCTGATTTCCATGAAGTGTTGGCGCCACCTGTGGATTTGGTCGTCGTCGCTAGTGAGAAGTATTCCATTGGCATCTTTGACTGGCTGGTTCTTCCTTCTATAGCCTCCTGAGATTTGATCAATTGTCTGGTATAGTGATCGCATGTTGTTTTCGTTTGCTGCGCGTTCTGCATTATCTGCCAGTCTATCCAGTAGGGCTCTCTTATCATTTCTGGCTGCTCTCTTGACAGCTTTGCATAGTGCGCGGTGTTCGTCGCGTCTATTGCTGTCACGGTCTGCCGGTAATTTTAGTGAGTTCCTTTTGTTGATCGTGTCCCACGTTGCGCTAGAGATCCAGTTGTTTCTTCTTCGTTGTTGGGTGCCAATGATGCCTTCTGCGGTGGTCCTTAGTGTATCGCACGTCTGTTCCCATGTCTGGCGTTGCTGCGGTATTAGGTGGGTGCGTAATGTTGATGCAAGTCTGGCGCTGATGTCCGTTTCGCCAAGTAGGTGTATGTTGAGGGGGGCCGTGCGGTGGTTCCTTGAGTCGTCAGCATTTCGCGGGCGATTGCGGTCCAGCTTGATTGAGAGCTCCCCAATGATCAGCTCGTGGTCGCTGTCTATCGATGGTCCCCTCTTGTTCCTTACATCCAGTAGAGACTTCCTCCATTTTCTGCTAATACAAATGTGGTCAATTTGGTTACGTGTGTTTCCACTCGGAGATGTCCACGTGTATTTGTGGATATCTCTGTGTGGGAACATACTACCCCCAATGATTAACTGAAACATTTGGCATACTTCTATTAGTCTATCTCCATTGTTATTACGCGTGCCTATACCGTGGCCCCCAGTGGCTGACCTCATTCTGGTAAAGTTGGGTCCTATTTTTGCATTGAAGTCGCCCATGAGAACAGTGATGTTGCCTCGAGGTATGTCAGTGAGAGTGGAAGTTAGCGCGGTATAGAAGTCGTCTTTGATGTCGTCGTTTGCGTCTTCGGTTGGGGCGTACACTGCACGATTGTTATTGGTCTGGCCCTACATCTAAACGTCGCTTTAAAAAAGTCTGTCTGAAATGGGTGTCCAGGAGTGTAGCGTTTCTTTCATTCTTCTGGCTACGAATATCCCTACTCCATATCTGCTTCCCTCATTATTACCGCTGTGTAAGATTAGGTTGCCATTT